CCAGGTGATAGACGGTCACTAGTTTCGAAGATTGGCTTGACAATCGCCTCTCTTCAAGCAGAGGGAAGTCGGCCTTTGTCAAGCGGTCGACTAAACACAGGGTAGAAATGATTTGCCAGTCTAGACGACGTTTCCTTTGGGATCCTTGGGTAGACTTCATCGAGCCCCAAAGCTCAGAATGAGTTGATCTTGTACAAGAGTTGATGAATGTCTTACACCATGAAGGCTTACTCGGTGAGAGGCTGTTCGTAGTAACGCCTTTACAAGACTGGATTTGATGAGGACGCAGCGGCTGAATAAAGACCAGCATAGTGTTCTCTGTAAACCTCAGATATCACAGTTGGGTCGCTAGTGGACTGTGCGTTCCTGTCCCTCAAGAAGAACTCAGATGGTTTGCTTCTATGGCGATGTCTCATGTATCTGAACAGTACATTCCTGTTTTACCGGGAAAGATTCAGAATGGTTGTTTGTTTTCATATTTTCTATTTGCGGATTTCTGATTTACAGCGGTTCCACATTTTGCGAAATGCCAGCTAATCTTCTGTGTCCCGTGTGGTCAACTTTTTGAGAAAGAGTTGGGATCTTTTTTCCAGAAGTCGCCGAATCCTTTTTGGTAGCCTTCGGTTCATCCGAGTGCGTGCCAATTGTTTTAGGACGAACGTCGCGTCAGCCTCGTGTCCCCTGACTGTCTTTGATCTAGTCGAACCTCATGCCCATTTTTCCCAACAATTTGGGAAATAACCTTTTATTACTATATCATCGGGTATTTCCCACAGTTTATGACGTCCTCTTTTTGTGCAATCCGTGCCCCCACATGTCCCCCAGTTACGCTTCATTCTGACTGTGAAGCTGTGATCACGCCAGACGGTGTGCAACCCACAAGTTGGGAATAAAGATTAGTATTATTATTATGTTATGCCACCCACCAGCTGGAACTAAACATTATTGTTGCTTCTTGCCGCATCGAAACGAACGCTTCTCAAAACCGGGAAAATGTATATACCGGGGAGCCATATCGCCACGGCAGCGCGTCTACCAGTTAAGGTATCAATTGTCCGAGCGCAAATATCAGTTGGCACCAAAAACCACAAGTTTGATTTCTTAGCTTTTCCTTTTCTTTCTTATTTCAGCGTGATGATTTTGCGGTTTTGAGTATGTGATTAGCTGACTGAAAACTAGCCCCTGTTCTCTCGCTTTTCGTCTTGGTAACAGCGACGGCCTTGTTGTCTCACATGTTCCAATTAGCCACCCACCGTGTCAGGGTACCCTCCATATGAAATGTTTGATGCTGTGAAGCTGCTTGACTTGCTTTCCCAAACGTTCTCCGGAAGATCGTTGATCGCACTGCCAGAGTGAATCTAGACAGGCCGGCTGTGAGTAATACACAACCACCAAGGCCGAGACAAATGTTGTGCCCGTGAAGCATATTACGGAAAAATCTTGGACAAATCTACGTGCTACTAAGTCTCAAAAAAAATCTGCTCCAAAGCAATGTCCAGACAAGCCACAATGTGAAATATACAGGCTGTCGACAGTGTCTGCAGGTAAGCCCGAGGATGCTTTTGAAAGCCTTTTGAACATGGAAAAGTGCGATAGCATCACACACGAACGCAAATTGGGCGGCTAGTACTCATGCAGTTTTATTCGTCACGGACATTTTCCACGTGATGCTGCACGACCACTATCTTCCTACAAGCCGAACGGTTTGAAAATAGGTGCGAACCACGCAACTTCTGAAAGGACTTAAGTAACAGGTAGCCCTGCACCCACGCAGTCTGCAACCAGGCGCAGAGCTTGTACATACGCGCTATAGATGCGTTGCGATAAAAGGCCCCAAAAAGTCGGTTGTGGGTGTTCTGCCGAGGCGTACGACGTCTAAGAGGCAACAGGATAAACTAGGCTGCATTGTTCTTTGAAAGCGTATATGACTGCAGTGATCCCCTTTATTGTAACATTACCGTGCGTGCAAGTTTCTTGATACAGACTGCCACACTTCTGATGACAACGCCCTGTATTTCGGTAAAATAATAGGGGGGCCAAACTCCTGGCTTAGTGGTCAGTTTGCAGCAGCCTGTCATACAAAATCTTCGTCACTTCCTGATCTCCACATCGTGAAAAAGGACACCGGAAGGACATTTGTGTCATCTTAGACGCACCCAGCAGTTGATGCTTTATCCACTGCGTATCACTGATGAATGCGTCTGACTCCGTCTGCGTTCCTGACATTCTTTAGGTTTTTAGGATCCCTGGTACATATATGGTGTAACGACCAGGTTCAAATAAAGTATCACATTACTATCCATCGTGCCACCATTTAACGGGTCCTCGGACCCTGAAGAGTGACCGGTTTCTACGCTACATTTTGAAGCCGAAGTCTTCTTTTCGTGAAACAAGCAAGTGAAACAAGTGACATGTCCCGACCGACCGCTAGGAGCGCATCCAGATTGTTTCCATCAAGACCGCAGGTTTATCAAAGTTGTGACTTTTACGAGGAATTAGTCCAATCTGTTCGCACCCCTTGTTGTTTGGAAATTCTGTCTAGGTGTGCAAAATTTCAGGGTCATGGACCACCGCCGATTTGCATTCTATTACCCCTTTACGATAGATAAATCATTAAATTGCAATTTATCATATTTTGGCGTTTTCCGGATTTCTTTATGGATGAGGTAGCATCTATCGTCGTTCAGATGTAACACTCATTCGGCGCCCAGCTGCCATGCCGCCCGAAGCAAGCATGATGGTTGAGATAGTTCCGGGTTGCTCAAGCCTAAAGAGTAAGAGTTAAGATCCAGAGATCGGACCGAACCATGGATATATTGGTCAGTAAATTTGCGCTTGAACCTTTGAACCATCTCATTCCTTTTAGGGATAACATCTACAGAATTTTCTATGCAAAGCCGATGCAGAAAAATTGGTCAGATCGTTGGTTCGCTTTATACTCCCCAGGTTTAAAAAAAGAAATGTTTGTTTAACGAAGTTTGGCGCAACACATTTTCCTGCAGAG